AAATATTTAAAAATTTTCATAGTTAAGTTTTATTTATTTGAAAGTGGTTACATAATATTAAATATTTTGTTATATAATATTTATCTATTTTTAATATTTAGTCATTGAAATTTTTAAATAATATTTTTAGTTCTAAATTTTTATTATTTGAATAGTATTTAAATTGAATAATTCACAAAATTATAATTTATATTGTTAGTACATAATTTTGTTATGAATTTCATAAAAGTATAAAGTTATTAATAATATGAATATTATTAAATCTATGATAATTTTTTTTGTGTTTTTAATCAATATTTTAAAGTTATTATATAATTTCATTATAATATTTAAGTAATTTTAAAATTTTTTAATTCAAACTTTCTTTTGATATATATATATATATATATATATATATATGAAAAATGGGGGATAGGATAAATAGGAATTAGAGATTATTTTGAAGAGAAACTCTCTACTAAATTAGAGATAATTTAGGAGATAATTAGGAATTATATATAACTTAGGAGATAAATAGGAATTATAGATTATTTAGGAGAAAGTGGAGGGTACTAGTAGGGGTGCTCATGATTCAGTTAACTGAACTGCGGGCCATTTTTTGTAACGGAACCGGTACTACTAATTTTTGGAAAACCGATAACCAAAACTGAACCGAAGCCAACCGGTTAACCAGTTCAATTAACTATCAGTTTGGTTCATTGGTTTTTTAATTTTTACAATATATAATAAATATGTATATGATAAAAAATTATAAATATATATATATAATATTATATTTTAAATAATAAATAATATATCATATACTATAAATACATATTTATATATAATGCATATTTATTAATTTATAATATATAATATATAATATGCATAAATATATATAAAATATATAGAAATATATGTATACCGATCGATTTGGTTAACCATCGGTTTTCTATATTGGTTAACCGAATTCGAATTGACCGGTTCGATTAACTGATTTTTCAATTCAGTTTCAGTCAGTTTTTTTTTAGTCAGTTCGGTTTTTCAGTTTTTTGCTCACCCCAATGGGATAGTGGTGCGTGCCATTTGTCTAGATTAGATTAGATTTTGGTAGAAAGAGATTTTAGAAATAGTTTTAGGAAGGGAAATCCAAAGGGATAAACATAAAGGAAAGAGGGATGGGCCAGGCATGCTGAGATGTCAAAGTGAGAGAGGGAGAAGGGAGTGATGAAGTGGCTTCATGTGGGAGCAAGGAAGGCTAAAACGAAGAGGGGCTAAGAGTTATCAGTTTGGGTAAGGGAGAAAGATTAGGCTCTGACATGGCATGTTTCTACTTTAGTATATATAGAGAAAATTATTTGAGAATTAAGAACAATAATTGCATTAGAAAATTATGCCTCCAAAAATTGTTTATGAGATGTACCCCATCAACAGCCAAAAATGGTTGGTTCTAGTCTTCCTAATGAAGCCTAAATCTTTTATGTTTTTTTTTTTTTTTTTTTATTTACTACCAACAACTGAATACGTTGCATATTGTCCATCTACTGCATCCCTCTAAATGTTCCAACTAAATAAGGGGTTTTTGGACAATATGTTTTTTTTTAAGGCGGTTGGTTTTGTTTTTGAAACAAAAACAACTGCCACATTACAAAAACAATATAGAGCCCGTTTGGCACGTTTTTCCGCACGGTCTTTCGACAGTTTATAAGTTGGGCAGACCAATTTTTGGTCTATTCTCGTTTGATTCGTGGAAGATCTTGCCACCAAAAGCCAGAGCGCTGAAAAGATGCGAGAAGCCCATTTTGGGCTGATTTTGGGAAGCTCCAAATGAAGATTTTCTCGTCTTTCAGTTTACAAGCTGGACAGACACATGTAAAGACGTGTATCTACCAAACTAGCTTCATGTTGCTCAGATATTCATGCAAAATCTCAATACGTCTTTTGACTGTCAGAACTACCAGAAGATCTTCTCAAAAAAGACTTGCCAAACGGGCCCATAATCTAGCCCATTTGTCAGTTGTTTTTATTTTCTAAAACAAAACCAACCAGGTTGTCAAACATCCGGATAAGGGTGTCAATGGGCTGGTTTTGGATTGGACCCCGTCCAAACCAAAATCAACTCCTGACGAATTAGATGGACCAATAAGACATATTGAATTGGACCAGTCCAGATTTAATGGTCCAAAGTATTTATTGGATTGGATTGGACTTGGTCCATCCATAATGAATTTAGATTGGATTGGGTTGGATTGAGCCAATATCTGGTCCATTGATAAAAGATAAGAATATAAGTGTCAATGGACAAGGTTTGGGTTGAAATTAATCTAAATTAAAACAAATTTGAACAGATTGGACGGTCCAGATATTGATTTGGATTGATCCAAAATGGTCCAAAATATTCATTGGATTGGATTGGACCAAATCTAGTCCAATTCATACCCCTACATCCAAAGAGAAACACTCATATATTAATAAGCTTCCAAAAACAATCGAATCCAGCAGAAAATTAACTTGGAGTTTCAAAATCAGTCTCTGAGTCCCTCTCCAACCTCCCTATTCTTGGGAAAAAATCAGTCCAAAAAAATCCAACTTTCGTTAGGCCCATAAACTCTGCCTCCAGGCATGCGCTATGATCCTTATCATAGCTGCGAAGTGCTAACCTCACTCTGGGCTCAGCCCAGCCCATGGTCTCCCTTACAGGCTACAGCCTAAGGCACATGTAAACTGTGATAGTCATATATATATATATATATATATATATATTAGGTTGTGTTTGTTACAATTGTTGTTTCTGTATGAAATATTTCGGGTTGATCAATACAAATTGTTATTTCTATTTTTTTTTACCCCCAAAGTTTATTCCAAGTGGAGGGACAGCCACCTAATAATTTTATTGATACGCCATTATCAAAAGAAAATTGAATTACAGGAGAGGGCGTAGCATCAGTCTAACCGAAGGACTGAGAGCCACCTAATAATTTATTCCATACTCAACCCTGCCCAAGAATATTAAAAAGACAAAACAAAGAAAAATGCACAAATCAGATAAAGCATCAGTCTAACCGAAGGACTGAGAGCCACATATATAGTCTTCCTCAAATTTGTCATTTCAACCATAAAATCAATTCCACATATGCAATTTTTTAGTTAAAGCATCTCTTATATATATGATGTGACAATGTATATTTCTAACCAATTGATCAACCCAGAATGTTTCAACTGGAAAAATCATAAAATCATAGTTACAAACAACTAGATGCAAAATTTATAACCAGTTCAGATTTGCACTGCAAACAAATTAAAGGGAAAACAGTAATTTTTCATGGAGTTCTCCTGAACAATGATAACAATTGAGACTTTGAGAGACCAATTACATTAGATAGCTGAAAGCCATTTCACAACTTATAAGTAAGTAGTTGGAGCAAGTTTGAACGCTAAGAGGACCTAATGGACACAAGTACTGAGCGAATTGGTGGGAGATGTTTGTGGAGTAGGTCCACATTACTAATTTCTAAGCGAAATTCAAGGAGTAACAATGTCGGTAGTTTTCTCAAAATACAATGTATTTGAATGATCCCAGCAATTTGATTAATTGCTTTATTATTATAATTACTATTAAAATTGATTGTTGCACTAGTTTTATGGTTTTGGTCAACATGATTGGTGAGGTTTTAGAGGCCTCAATTAATCTGGGAGACATGTCATTAACTAGACCAGATAAGCAGGAATAATATATATTAATTATCAAAATCCGTGAGGTTACATCAAAAGTTAGTAGGCTCATTAATTCTCACCTGTTTGAAGGTATTCCTATTCCAAGTTCAGTTTAATACAGGATACTAATTAAAAGTCACTAGTCCATTGTATACTTGAATAAACTGAGTATCCCTCAGCCAAAGTCATCAAAGAAAACTATTTTGTAATGTTCGTCTCAACTCTCTCATGGCTAATGCTGGAAGCAGTTTCCAGCAGATTGTATTTCAATCCTCCTGCAGTCCTGTGTCTTTCCTCGAATCAATAAAGGGTTTCTGACTTTCTGCTCTGAGAAGAAAAAAAGAGATCATCCCGCCATTTAATGCGCAAGATGGTTGATTGAGATAGAGAATAAGAACAACTGGAACGTATAAAACTTCCCCAGTAAATAGTTTAAATGTTCAGAGTTCAGAGGTCAGACTCCAGACACTGATCGAGGACAAATAGAATTAATCATTTTTCTTTTTAATAACAGAGATCGATTAGTTGGAGATATAATAACTTAAAAAGCCCATAAACCAAGACCACTGAATGTTGTCCCTAATCCCGATACGTAAGTGCAGTATCGGTGATGCTCCCGCTGTTTCCTCCTCGGTATCAGGATGCCGTTACTTGACCTCTGGGGTTGGTTGAATTTCTTCGCCCCTTTATCGATATCTTAGATGAGGGAATTCTGTGTACGGTGGAAGAGATATACTGTGACCCTACATATCACGTTGCTCGTGCAATATTTTCTTGACATGGCATCGGATTCGTTGCACGGAAGTCAACAGACGAATCTCAGTTGTCTAATAAAACAAGATTAAAAGTACAACAAATAAACATTGCATTAATATATTTTGATGGATTTAACGCTTCTAGAAATTCAACTTCAACATGCATGGATGGATCGGATCTAGTCGTTGTGGTTGCGGTTTCCTGGAAATGTTGCAACGTTGGACCATAATTACAGGAACAAATTCAATGCCAACAGGAATACGACTATACGTACGACACACACACACAGAGAGAGAGAGAGAGAGAGTAATCTCATGCAGCTTCCTTAGTTCTCTCGTTGTTATCACCGTGTAGCTATTCCTCGACCTCATCCCATCGACCATTTTCCGTGTTCAAAGTTCAAAGTCGTCTCATTTCTTGTTGCTTACAGACGGTTTTCTTGACTGGCTCGGGCTGCACATGTCAGAATAAACCAAAAAGAAGAATAATTCTCTTTCTTTTCTTGTGTTGGATTGAATTGGAGACAAATTCGAGTGAAACAAGACAGCTGCTTTCTTCAAAATTCTAACTACTTTGATTCAAAACAAGTAATATGCAATTTTTTTTCTGTATTCACAGATAATTAGGATCAAATTATTGAATTTAAACAATATAAAGAAAGAATGAAATTGTAATATGCTCTTTTCCCGACCCAAAAAAAAAAGAAAAAAAAAGACCTGTATAATCTCATCTTTTGCTTTTTTCCCCACCACAAAAAAAAACAAGGAAAAAACCCATCAAAGAATAAGAAGAGATGAAGATGGACTATGGTTTTAATTCCCTGGAAAAGTTGAGTTGCTAATTTTGTTGTTATTGCCATTGCTGTTGCTTGTGGTGGTGGTGTTTCCATTGTTGTTGCTGCTGTTGTTGTTATTGTCGTTGCTGCTGCTGTTGTTGGTCGGACGGGCTCCTCCAATAATGGAGGTGATGGCAGCAGCAAGAGCCGCAGTGAAGTTTGGATCAGCGGTGATGGCCGCCGTCGCTGCGCTAACTGTGTCAGCCAATGAGGGCTGCTGTGCCTGGTGTGGTGCTGGAGCTGGCGATTGGTGGACGAATTGAGAAGGTTCTACATCCTGAGAGAGCTGTAGTCCAGAGAATTTTGTTTGATTGTAGAGAGCTTGTCCGAAGACCTGAGTCAGTGGGGGAGCTGGCTGAGAAGGGAAGCTCTGGGCTTGGTTAGGGAATGGAACATGGAATTGACTGGGTGGCCTTTGGAACTGCAAAGGGTTGGGAGTGTGGGTAAGGTCCAACGTCACGGTGGGAAACGGAGCCGAAGCAGAGATCGTTGCCATGCTTGATGAGCAAGGCAGAAGAGTCCTTGCCAGGAAATTTGAGTTCAGTAGCCCATCAGTACTGGACATTGATCCAGAGAGAAGCATAGAAGCTGCTGCTGATGTAGTCGATGCCATCGCCATAGCTGCTGGAGGGAGTGGGTGATTATGGTTTCCTTCGTAGGTTGTTATGAGGATTGATCGATCTTCTGCACATCTCTGAACCTGTTGAACACCATAATCCGGATTAATATCATATACACACTGGATTATATTGCGAATGATCAACGAACAGGAACGCCCATTTAAGTAAATAATTAGATTGGGAAACGTACTTGCTTCCGAACTGGACAACCAGCAGCCATGGTGCAGCGGTAATAAGCTCGGGGGCAAGGATTCCCTTTTGCCATCTTTTGTCCATACTTTCGCCATTGGCACCCATCAGTGATCTGAAATCGATCGAGTTTTGATTAATTGAGCTGTGACTTCAATAATTTCAATAAACTTAAACAGAGAAAATATGACATGCGATAACTGCTTACCATGGGAGCCTCTGACCGTGCTCGAACCGAGACCCGAGCCTTCCTCATAGTGGCTTCTGTGGTTTGATCAACGTTCTTGGAGGGATTCAGTTTTGGGATTTTGTTAGCAACCCATCCTTGGTCAGGGCTCTCTTCCCTGCCAATCCCTCTATCCTCTCCAAAATCACTCTTGTCCTGATCGAATAGAACAATCTCGTTGTTGCTGCTATTCTTCTGCTGCCTGTATTCCTTGGAGACCACTTCTGCATTATTATGAGGGGATCCAGAGTGATCACGGCTCCGCCCTTCAGAGGATGACTGTGAAGGCTCATCAGTCTCAGCTGTCGCAGCCGGGCCTAAATCCATAAATTGTCTTGGAACTATCAACCCTTCGCCGGCTTCATGTTTCTTCTCTTCTAGCTTTCCATCTAACATCTAAACAGAACAAGACACCCATGGAGAGAGGAAGTTAATTGCTAATTCACTAAAAAATTAAGTTAAATTATCAAAACTCGATTTCTAATTAGATGAAAGGCCCTAGATCTGAATCTGAATTGAGTAATAAAAAACAGAAAAAAAAAAAATATATATATATATATATATATACCTCCTGATCTTGGGCGCTTTCAGCCTTGCGGTTCTGTTGCTGCATCAATGTTACGAGATGCATCTGTAGTGCGCTATAGTTGTTGGTAACCTGACTAAGCATCGCTCTCAACCGTTGGTTCTCCTCGTTCATCCGGTCTAGCTCGGTTTGAAGGGCCGCCAGCTGAAACAATATAAGTGGGTAATCTTAAAAGTTAGAACACCATCTTTAACCAAAACGATTAATTGATCCAGACCTAGCTAGAGACCACAAGAATTGAAAACCCCGATATTGAATTACAGGACTTCGCCTTCTTACCTCACTCTTGGCTCGCTTGTCGTCGGCATTAGGTGAAATCCCGTCGTCCACCGTTGATTGGTCGCTGCCGGTGTTTGCCGTAAGAAGGTGCAAACCAGTCTGTAATTAATTAAAACAAGAAAAAAGGATGTTAATTGATAATATACTAATAGCGAGTGAGAATTGAGTACGTATCTCAAGCACACATGAAAGAGTATATATCGAAAAGATTGTTTACAGTATAATTTGAGCTGTTCCTGCTTACATTTACAGCCAAATCGAGTCTTGGTGCCACCCCACCATGGGAATCCTCCTTCTTAACATCGATAATGGATGCTTTGGCATCGAAATCTTTCAACCGATTCTTATCGGAAAAGAAGTCCATTTCATCGACCCGCTTCTCGTCGGACGGCACTGGAGAATCTTGATCATCTCTACAATTAAGATTAACCGGAAAATCCATGGGATCGTGCTTCCACTTGGGATGATTGGTTGTCAGGAATGACTTGATCGCAGTAGGCTTGGTGACAAAGAACCCAATCTCGGAAGAATCAATAGTGAGTCCACCTCCTTTGTCCATAAATCAATGAAGGAAATAAGAAAGAGTGAGAAGGGATGGGAGATGAGAGAGAAAGAGAGAGAGAGAGAGAGAGAGAGAGAGGGTGTGATGAAGTCTGAAGTCTTTTACCGGTGCAATGGGCTCGGCAATAAAAAGGGTTCGGACGAAGACCAAACAAGCAGTAGATTTGAGAAGAAAAATGAAAGTGGAATGAAGAAGTGACGCCAGGTGGTGCGTCAGATGGGACAGCTGGCATTAGAAGACCAGGAAAGGAGAGGAGTGGGGGGGGGTTCTTACGTTCGTTCGACAGATCGTCTCGTCTACTTTTCGTCAAAACTGGGTTTGACTCGTTCCACAAATCCACCGCCCCGATTGGCCCGGCGCGTTCCACGTGAGGAAAGCCAGAGGGGAGCCGAGTCAACGAATTTGACGGCCCGGCTCTGTGACGACTACTAGGCGGGGCCCGGTCCCCTTTTGACTGGCGCCACGTTTCAGATCGGCCGGAGGATGCAAAGTTGACTCTTTCGGTTCCAACTTGTGGGACCGAGTCCCCTGCTTACTGCTTCGAGTTTTCCAACCCCATGCATACATCCCTACTCTAAACTTGTTCTCGATCTGCTATGTTTTAGCCTACCTTATAAACTTGCTATCCCAGTCCCCAGAAAAGCTATGAGCCTATGACCTATATGACCTACGAATGAATCAATGGTTTTTGCTCGTTTTGGGATTTTGTTAATCGTTATCGGAGAGATTGATTTGGTTTTTATATCAAAATTTTAGAATTTTGAAAGAAAATTTATCCTCATAATCGGCAAAAAGTCTGAAATAGCTAAATTGTTCAAAGTTTAAAACCTTGATTCATTCAAAGGCAGACAGAACAAAACTTACTAGGGTTGAATTATCTTGTACACGAAATACTAATTAAACCCATGTAATTAGGTGGGTCCATGTCCATGACTAGTCCATATGATTGATGACATGAGATGTCAAGGTAGGAAATTCATTTGATCTGCCTGGACCCTCATCAATTGGTGGGAGATAGAGGTTCAGGATGCGTCATCCAGGTCCAGCCATGTGGTCTCAAATTAAATGGCAAATAAAATAATCAGACATGCATTAATTTGTTCCTGTTCCACATGAGATGTGCAGTCCAGATTTCTTGTTGCATGATAATATACATGGGGCGGGTATGGATGCATGGATTGGATATGTGAGTCGAGCTACAAAAGTACTACAACCCACCCATTAATTCAACGGGTCAACCCAGTTATGTATCATCTATATACTTTGTACTTGTAGTAGAGCCTAAATGGGTATGACCCATGCCCATTAGAAGTCAAAATGGGTTGGTCAACCCACAGAGCAAATGATGGGTTAAGACTTAAGAGTAAGTGGGTAACATGGATTGGATAAAATTTGACATACCCCAATTGACGGGTGAGTATTGATGGATATCCTACTTCCGTCAAGGATCATTACTCAAAAAGTACATTGCATTTAGTGTTCAAAACGCGTATGTGATTGTGATTATTAGTTGGCCATACCATACATTAATAAGAAGAAGAAGAAGAAGAAGAAGAAGAAAGAAAGAAAATGAAGGAGAGAGAGGGGTGAAACTGAAGAGGTGAGATGAGCCATATTATTGGAAGAGAAGTCAAACCAACAATCAACAAAGTGACAGAGTACTGAGGGATGGAGATATATGCCTAGTCCCTAGTAGAGAGGATAAGTCTCCAGTCTGCGTCGTCTCCCCCCATGGACCATGTCATGTGATGATGGGATTAGGACGATTACCACCAGTTTCTTCCAGTCAGGTTCCTTACTTTTATAATTTCACCTTTTTTTTTTTTTCTTTGTCTAATCCTATCACCAATTCCGCCTTTTCTTTTATTGCTTCATTTACAGCTCTCTTCTTTTATTTGCTTCAATGTTTGACTTCTTTCTCTCACGAGTTCTCCATCAATCCGCATGGGAAAATAAAAAGTAAAAGTTTGGACGCCATGAACAAGACTCGGAGCGGGCAGGATTTAGGGGTAAAAAATAAAAAATATATATGACTGAATCGTAATCGTCGTATATAGTATATATATAGTAACACAACACTAATGGTATAGGTAGCTTCTTTTCCTTATCTACGACCAATTAATCCCTCTCTTGCAGAGAAACTTCCAGTCAGCGATATTCTCAAACATCTAATATTCAATTTCGTCGACCGATCCCTCCTCCCATCTCTCTTTTGACTGCTCAACACAGACGAAATATTAATTCGGCAGCAATCTCTCTCTCTTCCATGTGAAGAAGGTCGATGTTTACGGTGTTCCCACCACCTGATCCGGGAAACTTAAAGGAAATATGCTTCACTCAAACAAACGGCGCCCAACGTAAAATGTTGATGCACGAAGAGGAATTAGAAGTCCAAAGAATAGATGCTATTCAACAGGAAAAAAAAAAAAAAAGAATTCCCAGAATATGGAAAGAAAGGTTTCATTTCATTCACGGACAGTTCAAATCAACCAGCTGGTTTAAACTCAAAGCATTTTTCTTTCTTTTTCTCTCTCTACTTTCACGATAAAGAACACGTATAAATTCACTTTTTAATAATATTGATTTTGGTTTAAATCAATCTTATTAGACTGACATCTTTTCTTTTCATTTTCTGTTCCTACTCTTTTCCAAGTGACAAGTGTTGTTCGTCAATGTTCTCCGATGGACGAAGATAAGTTTTGGTCGTCAGCAGTTGAAAATAAGTGCAAGCTAAAGACAAAGGATTCACAAGTACAGGGTAGTGACAAATTATAACGTCAACAATGTTTTTATTAGGCATTTGTTAATTGGGGGTCTGGGGGTTGGATCAATTCTTAACAGCTCTTAAACCTGTGGACCTGAGTTGGACTTAGAAGTTAAGAACCCAATTAAATTATGCTTGGGAAATGGGTAGTCCAAAATTTGTGGATCCAGAACCTACTAATTGGCGCCAAGAGTGCCAGGTAGGGGAGGGCCCACCTGGGGCCAACCATCAACGCTTACGTGTGGGACCGAGACACCTCAATTAATCAAAGCCATCAAGATCAGATGGTTATATGGAACTATCATATTAATTAATTAAATAATCCACCACCCAGCCTCCATTATTTATTATTTAATGGGTCTTGGTTCCACGAAAGTCCTCAAATGACGAAATAAACGCAATTCTGTTTCTTTCTTTTTGTCATTGACGTAATCGCAGCCATTGGTGAAGAATACTTTGGCACTATATACGTAAGAGTTATTGAACTAAGTTTAGGGCTTCCTTGGATAGAAGAAAAGAGCGGGCGAATTCGAGATTGACTACTCTACCTGCTAACCTACAAATGTAGAAAAGGGAAGTATGGATAGGTCGAACACGGTTAAGATTAAATTAAAAAAAGAAATGGAGAAATGGGTTGGACCTTTTGAGGCCCCCATCTCTTTCCCGTGAGGTGGACTTTTTATTTTAAATATTAATATAATTAACAGAAATATAAATACTATGAAAGAGAGAGAGAGAGATAGGAAAAGGCTGAAGTGGCTGAACTAATCATATATAATAAAATATCAGGTAAATGGTATCCTTACATTCGGTAGTAGTTGGGAAGATTTGGCCAATTATAGGTTACCTGTTTTAAAGGTTAACGTTGTAGCTTAGCTAACATCATTGAGTAGGGGTGTCCATTTGATCGGTTTGGTTTGGTTTGGTTTGGTTCGGTTCAAAATGAAACCTCTGAATTAGGTTTTAAAATTGAATTAAATCGAATCTAAATTAGTTCGGTTTGGTTTTAAATTGGTAAATTTAGAATATTGAAATTCAAATATATGTTACATTTATAGTTAAAATACGTATTATATATTAACAATAATATTAATCTATATATATATATATATATATACTAAAGTGTGGCCTCAACAGTCTCCTTTACCTCAATAGAAAACTCTCAGCCCCTTTCATTTTTGCCTTTCTTGTTTTTCTCATGAAGCCATCTCATCACTCCCTTCTTCATCTCTCATATTGACACTTCAGCCTAACAGGAATATTCATTTCTCTCGTATCCACACCTCAACGTAATAGGAGTCTTGACAGAGTAAGAGTCGTCCCACCTTATCAGTCTCCTCTCCCGACTTTCTCACTCTCTCATATCAACAACTCAGCGCGATAGAAGTCTTGACAAAGTAGGTCTTCCCACCTCTCATCGCTTCCAACTAGGAAGTTCATATTTTTCCAATTGTTCTGGACAAAGCAGTTGCCCTAAAAAAAATAGCAACTTAATCTATCACGATTCACCATCGTGAAAGAATGATATGTTCGACTTTACTCTCTCTATATTCTCTCTCAAATTAGGAAGATATCATTATGTATAGGGAGATCACAATTCATAGTTGCAATATGATAGGAAACAGGGTCAAATATAGTCTCTGCACCACGAACCAAACTTCACTGTCCTATTGAAGAAAGGTACCTAGGAAGGAACTTTTTTCCCATCGTCCCTAACTTTCCATTGTCACTCATTTTTTTTTGGACAAAATAAACAACGTTGGTTACTTCTATCTCTCTTCCCTCACCTCTTCTTTTTCTTCCTATCTTCGCTCACCATTTTGGATGAAAAAATATGGCAGATTTGTTCACCACGAAGCTAGGGTAGAGCTAGTTCACTCATTGTTCTAAACGAAAAACAAACTTTCAGGTATGTCTTCGCACTGGTTTACAATCATTTTTTGATGAAAATATTGGCCAAAACATTATTTGGGTATTTATCTTTGTTGTAAAATAATAATAACATAGGCAAAATGAAACTTATCAGTAATCGCTTTCCAAACCGAGAGATGGTAGTATTGCAGAAATGCAGTGATGAATCTAAGAAATTGTAGAGAGAATGAGGGCTGAGTCATGCCACTTGGTCACTCTCCTTAAAACCGCATTTCCCCCTACGGTGCAGATCGCCAAGATAAAACAACCCGCAAGCCACTAGTAGGCATGCACTCGCTTACTAGACCTCCACGAACCATTAGGAGTGATGCTTAGAGATCTGACACTCGATAGAGAATAGAACTGTATTGTGTGCATTGATCTGTGTTTCTAGGTCGATTAACACTCTCTTTATAGAATGCTCTTAGTCACTTGAATGGACACAAAAGTATCTTTTCAGAGAGA